TAGCGCTCTACCACTTGAGCTACAGCGCCACTTCTGGCTTTTTTCTTTTTGCTTATGTGGTGCTGAGGAATCAAACCCAGGGCCTTGAGCATGCAAGGCAAGCGCTCTACCACTGAGCCACCTTCCCAGCCCACGATTCTGGCTTTTTGCTGGTTAATTGGAGATAAGAGTCTCACAGACTTTTCTGCCTAGGCTGCTTTGAAACTAGATAACTCAGATCTCGGCCTTCTGAGAAGTTAGAATTACAGGCATGAACCAGTAATGAGAATTTTAAGTCGCCATCTTCTCAGGGAGCCAAGAACCAATTGAGCTCATTAGCAGCTGATTAGCCAAATCATTCAGATTTACTTTGAGAAATCTTGAAGACCTATTACCTATCAAGTGTTTTGTTGACACCATAGCTCAGCAGTTAAAAAGACAGTATTTGAATTTCAAATTCACACCAGATAGGCTCTTTCAGGAGAAAACTCTCACTTTTGGTCCTACACTGACAGCTTAAAAAAGCCTGGATACGCTGAATCTGGTTGTGTGGGGTTCTAGCGTCTGAGGAGTGAAAGATGGGCTGCAGAATCCACATTACACTTTCCATTGTGTCTTAAGCTTACAGTCTTGAAAGGATGAATGTGTTATTTTGTAGGGCTAGAAATTTGATTTAAGACAGGTTGTTGTGAGAGGAATTTTCTTCCATTGATCTTTATGCTCTGTTCCAGCAGCTCATTGAAAGGTGTTTTTCTCACTCAGGTGGCTGGAGAACGATACGTCTACAAATTTGTCTGTGACCCAGATGCCCTTTTCTCCATGGCCTTCCCGGACAACCAGCGTCCATTCCTGAAGGCGGAGTCCGAGTGCCCCCTTAATGAAGAGGACACTCTGCCACTGACCCACTTTGAAGACAACCCTGCTTACCTCCTGGACATGGATCGCTGTAACAGCCTCCCCTATGCTGAAGGCTTCGCTTACTAAATTTCTTGAGTGGCTGAGCGGCCAAACCCTAGAGCTAGCAGTTCCCATTCAGGCAAAATGAGGGCAGTGGTTTTGTTTGTGTTCTTGGCTGTTCCTAAAGCTTGCCCTTTGAGTATTATTTGGAGAACCTAAGCCGTCTCTGGGTTGACACCCTTAAAAGACAGATACTTTGGCTGGAGAGTGGAACGGGAGGGGGAGACAGCCACCAAAAAAAAGGCTGGTACCTCGACTCTGATTCTGACTAGATTTCTGGAAAGAGATGGAAATGGAGCCTCCTTACCACCATGGACAATATATGCAAAGCAATACCTTGTTAAGGTTAGTACCTACAAAACAGGACTGTGTGTGAGACAATCTGCGTTGATCATGGACTACTAAATGCCTTGACCTGGAAGGGCTCTATGACTTGCACAATTTTTTGAAAAAGAAAACATAAGCTCATATAAAAGTAGGTAACTGTGTCGGGGAGGCTCAGATCATTAAGACTTGAAATTACACAAGTTGTTCAAGCTCAGGCTGAAATGCTTCCCCCTTGGTTGAGCAAAGTGGTGGGGATGGGGGGCGGGAAGGGGAGGCAATAAGTCAAAACAGCTGTTACCCACCTGTTCTCAAACCTCGGGAACCTTCTAGCCATGTGGTCATCAAGTAGAGGGAGCCTCCCTCTCTTCCCAGTCACGTGGCTGAATGCGAATGACTTTCATTTTAGAAGGGCGATCAATACTTTTGACAGTATTTTGTTTTGCTTTGAGTCAAGGGGATTGTTTTGTTTTGGTGGTTGTTTTGGAAAAACAGTTTATAAACTGATTTTTGTAGTTTTGGTATTTAAAGGAAAAAAAACCCACAAAAAAAAATCCAACCTTTTGGTAACTGCACTGTGTCCCTTAAGCAGGGCAGTGACAACCTATGAAGACTGCAGCTTGAGAGGCTTTGCTGGGCCTCCCCTGTACCCACATAAAAACCTGCTTTTGTTGCCTGCTTTTGTGCTTTCTGTAACAGACAACCTGATGGAGCATTTGCACCTGAGTTGTACAATTTCTGACGTGTACAGGACAACCTGGACCCAAGCTTGTATACAGTTCTCCGTGTTCGCTCACGCCCTCTCTGGGAAGCAGATGTACATACTACATGCCCTGTCCATTTGAAACCTGATCACCTAGTTGTAAACCCAAGAGTTCTTCTCAAGGGTTCTCACCTCATGACTAGTGACCTTTCTGTTTTTCCCTTATGTTTGATTTTTTTTCCTTTAAATCTTAGAATTGAAGCCATGCATCACAGTGCTGCAGTCGGGTTTGAGATTGATGTGTGGCACTGACAAGTAAAACATCCCTAATGTTCTGATTTTCTCCCATACCTACACACCTTTTCTTTAAAAAATTTTTTTTGATTGCTGTATTATATTGGGGAAGTTGTAAGCTACAGCTCTGTGAAAGGTGAGCTTGGAGTAGAGGAAAAGTCACTGGGACACAGTAGCTCCTTGCTGACTTCTTGCTGGTAATGTGCCCCTGTTACACTGCTGCTCCTCATGCCCAATGCCAGTGTGAGACGTGCTTTGAATTGCTTTTCTATTAATGGAGCTCTCCACAGTCCCTCGTATGACCAACAGCACATTTGTGACAATGTTCTTCGGGACGAGGGGGGGGGGTGCATTTGATAGCTATGAAAACACGAGATTTCCTCTTTTGGAAGCTAATTAGCCCAAAAAGGTATCAAACCTAAAGCTTGGGCCTTAATTAGCATTGTGTACTCTAATCAAAGGACTCTTTCTAAACCATATTTATAGCTTTCTAATCTACATATAGACTATACATAGATATTTTACCCCCAGCCAGCTAGAGATTTATTTGTTGTAAATGCTGTATAGATTTGGTTTGGTTTGGTTTGTTTTTTTTCCCCCTTTCTTTACTTACTCTGGTTTGGGACTTATTCTTTTTACCAAGTATGAAAATACCTTTCTGTAGCTGAGCTGCCCCTCCCCTGCTGAAACCACGTGGCCTGTGCTGTCACCGGCCCTAGGATGGCAGTTGTCACCCTTGCATTCCCATGGGTCTCATACACCTCCCAGATGGTAGTTTTTGTTGTTGTTGTTTTTCCAGGGTTTCCAGGGGGATTGTTTTTTGTTTGCTTCTTTTCCAGAGTGTGGAAAGTCTACAGTGCAGAAAGGCTTTAAACCTGCCAGTTGATCTGAAATACTTTCCTCTGTGCAGGGCTGTGTGCATCCTGACAAGCTGCGTTATATTCTGTACTGTGTACAATAAAGATATTTGCTTTTCGTTTACCAAGTGCCTAAATCCTGTCTCTTTCTTGCCCTCAGTGATCTAGCTATGCAGCCTTACCAATGAATGGCGGAGTTGGAAGTAAGTAGAGGCTATGATACCTGGAAATTCTACCCAGAACTTTGGTCCATGAAGATGGGGAGATGGAGAGCCTTTTTCTGTCTCTAGGCATTCATCTGACCCTACGTAGTTACTAACTCTTAGTAACTATTTCTTTTAGGCATAGCTTGTTTTGATTTTTAGTTATCTGAAAAAATTAATTACAGGACTTACGAGTTCTAGAATTGTTCTAGCTCAGCCCCTTAGAAGGATACTTGGAAAACCAGTAAAAACAAAGACTATACTATAGTTTTCCAACAACAGGTCTGGCTTTTTGACAGTAAAATTTTTTTACTAATGGTTGAGCCCTAAAAACCAAGCAAAGTCCTTAGCTTCAGGTGTGGCTGACTGTACCTATTTTCTGAGTGTCATTCTCCTGACTGTATCATTGGGCAAATTGTGGAAGGAAACAGAAGTTTGCAGAGTTGTGTGCGTTATTATGCCGTTTAGTATTCTTATTTCATCCTTCGGCACCTTTAATTTGGCTCTTTCAAGACTCCTATTACAGTAGAAAAGTAAAGCAGATCCTTATAAAAGCCTAGAACAGAAGGCTTTCTGTAAGCTATCTCCTATCTTTCTTTTACTGTTTTACAAGCCTTTAAGTGTAAAAACATCCCAGACTGAATTGGTGCACAGCCACTTGAATTGGAGCTTGTGGGGAATGAATGTCTGTCACATAAACCCCATTAGCTTCAACAGATTAAGAAAAGATGCTTGGGGAGAAAGGGCTAGGGGGTGCAGGACAAAGGGGCTCTCCTCTTAGCTTCCCTAGGATAAGGTTTTGACAGTCAGCTCCCCATTATTCATGGACTCATTATCCAGCCTGGGCCCAGTCCCAGATCGTTAACCTAATGCTGGAGGTCACCAAACTGCTGCCCTGCTAGTGCTGGGCGCTAGGGGAAGGAAGCCAACAAATGTGAAGTTTATTCTTCACCAGGGTCTCCTTTCATAAGCCAGGCCAAGGGGACAATGCTTATTCAGTTGTTAGATAACAAAGAGGTAGTGTGAGGGCAAAAGAATGTGGTTTTGAAAGCCAAGAGTATGTGCAGAATCTAAATTCTAATGCAGCCTGGCCAAACATAAACTCATGTGGAAGAAAGACACTCATGCACTCAGACAGTTAGAAACCTTGGAGAGAGAGTCCATGGCCCACCTGCAAGTGGCAGGTGGTCAATGTGTGGCCTCAAATCCAAGCAAAAAGGGAAGAAGTCTAGCACAATCACTGGTTTTAATGCAAACAAACTCACAAGTATTAGCTTTCTTCAATATAAGTATATTGTACTTTAAATCGATGGTAGAAACCAGCGTGGCTCAGAGGAAAGTGTGTGTTTGTCTATGCTTGCTCACATGCTCGTGTCCACACACACCTGCCAGTACTAGGGCTTGAACTTGGCCTAGGCACAGTCCCTTAGTTTTTTCACTCAAGGCTGGGGCTCTTACTTCTTGAGCTACATCTTCACTTTTTATGTCTTTTTGCTGGTTAATTGGGTATAATACTCTCAAACACGTTTGTACCAGGGCTGGCTTCCTTAGGTGTCAGCCTCCTGAATAGCTAGGATTACAAGTGTCAGCCCCCAACCCCTAGCTGACTTTTTTTGGGGGGGGGTTCAGTTGTGGGGCCTGAACTCTGGGCCTGGGTGCTGTCCCTCAGCTCTTCAGCTTAAGGCTAGCACCCTACCACCTGAGCCAAGCGCCACTTCCGGCTTTTTTCTTTTTTGCTTATGTGGTGCTGAGGAATCGAACCCAGGGCCTCAGGCATGCAAGGCAAGCGCTCTACCACTGAGCCACCTTCCCAGCCCCCCTAGCTGACTTGATCACAGCAAATACACTCATATCCTGTCCAACAGGGGCCCCTTGAGGGGGCATCCCTTCCTTAGCTCTTTCTTTACGAGCTGGCTCTGCATACCCTGGCCTTGGTTTATCAGCCTTGGCAGTGAACCTCAGCACTTTACCGGGCACAATTTTTTTTTTCATCTCCATTATCTTTTTTGGCAGGCTTTCTTAAATGGTACAATTGGTTGAAATTGAATCTGAAAATATTCGTGACCATTGGCCATTACTTTCTTTGAATGGGACATCAGAACTCTGGTGCCATCTTGCTGATTGCCTGGATTTAACCACACAGTCTGAGGGCCTCCTGACACAGTGAAGCCCCCATGAGGTTCCACCTCCCATGACCCATAGTAAGAGATAAGGAGAAAAGACTCCAAAGACTTGAGGTGTGTGTGGGATTGGGGGGGGGAGGGCACAGTTTGACCAGTTTATAATCCTACTAGGCTCTGGTGGCTCATACTCATAATCCTAGCTAACTCAGGAGGCTGAGATCTGAACCTAATTGGGGCAGGGAAGTCCATGAGATTTTTTTCGATTAACCAGCAAAAAGCCAGAAGTTGAGGTGTGGCTCAAGTGGTAGAGACCATTGATAAGCGATAAATCTAGGAATAGTGCCCCAATAACCAACCCACCCACACAAGCAACAATGTCCTCACTACCTTTAAGCAAGCTCTGAAGACAGCTCTATCCCACGTACAAGACATAAGTTTATTTACTTTCCATACATACACTGAGCACCTAGTAGATGCCAAACACTGTTAGAGGCCCTGTAAAAAGCATTTGGGAATTAAAGATCTGTTCCAAACATCATGATACATGTGAAGTGTTTAAAATGCTCTTCCCAGCTCATAATTAAGTACCAGTTTCATCTTTCTCTGGCCATCTTGACCAGAGGCAGGGGCCACGTATCCACTAACCCCTGTGGGTCGAAGGTTAGCCCTAGGTATGTTAACTCCTCAGTGAACTTCCTGTCAGGAAGAGAGGAAGTTAGGTGCTGCAGGAATCGGCGTGCTGGGAACTGCTCACAGGTGCAATTGATTACAGTGAACATGAAGCTAGCATCAATGGGGATGGCTTAACTTACCTTTAACAATTAGCAGGATGTTCCTGATGACCGGGCTTCCTTGTCTCCATAATTATGGTGGTGAGTCTCATTTCATCATTCAGCTATCATTTTATCAATCACCCATTACATGGAAGACTGGGCTAGGTAGACATTTGGGAGTTGGGGAGAAATCATAGTGAAATGTCCTGCCCCTAAGTAGCTCATAGACTAATTGGGCAAAATGTAAAACTAGAATACAAGGTCTAACATACTGAATATTAGTCACCCAATACAGAATAGTGCCGATTTAATGCCAAGTGTTGCTCTAGAATTAGTAGAAGGGAAAAGCAAATACAATTCTCATGTAAGGGAAGAGGGGAAGAAAAAACCAAATAGAATGATATTTGTTAGAAGGTGCTAAGTACTACAGAGAAACAAGGAAAGTGACCGTGAAGAGTGGGGGTGGAAGGCTGTTATAAACAGGGAGGTCAGAACACCACCCAGTTAAGCAAAGACTCAGGAAAAGCTGCTGGATGGATATCTGAAAGAAAAGAAAAGCTCTGCACATCCTCGCTTTGTTTATGGAAGAGCTGTGGAACTGGGTCAGAGGAAAGTGGAACGTGGTAAGATGTGAAGTCAGGAAATTAACAGAGGTGGTAGGAGGTTTAGGACTTTGCCACTGTCCATGTTTAGCCTTTACAGACTTTACAGCTTAGAAATGATATCATCTGATGCATCTATTAAGGAATCACTTTTTGTGTGTGTGAGTGCCTGTGTTGGGGTTTGAACTCAGGCCTTGGGCTCTCGCTTAGCTTTTTTGCTCAAGCCTGGCACTCTTATCACTTACACCACACCTCCACTCTGGTTCTTGGCTTGTTAATTGGAGATAAAAAGTCTCACGGATTTTTCTGCCCAGGCTGGCTTTGAACTAAAATCCTTAGGTCTCAGCCTGCTGAGTAGCTAGGATTATAGACATGAGACACCAGCACTTGGTTTTTAAACCAGGATTGCTTTGACTCCTAAATTGAAATAGACCTAGGTAGGTTGCTACAGTAATCCTCAGAGCAAGAGGGTGACTCAGACCAAGTACATGAAAGAGAACATATCTGGATAATGTTTTTAAAGTAGAGCCAATAGGTTTTGGACATGGACATAGAAAGTGAGGAGAAAAGTCAATTATGGCTCCACAGGGGTTTTTGGCCTGAGCACAGGGAAGGTTGAAGTTACCTTTAACTGAACTAAGAGAAGTCTCAGCTGGAGTGTTTTGGTATTGGATGGAAGAACAGGCATTGTGTGAGGGGCGTATTCTCCGAAGTGGGAATCAGGTGGGAATACCAACTGGGATATAGGAGTCTGGAGTTCAAGGGAGAGTTCTGGGCTGGAGACAGAAATCAGAATATGTTAGTGTGGCCAGGCACCTGTGGCTCACACCTATAATATTAGGCACTCAGGAGGCTGAAATCGGAGGATCACAGTTCAAAGCCACCCAGGCAGGAAAGTTTATAAGATCTTATCTCTAATGAAACCCCCCAAAGCTAAAAGTAGAGCTGTGGCTCTAGTGATAGAATGCCAGCTTTGCTTTGAGTGGAAAAAGCTAAGGAACAGTGTCCATACCCTGAGTTCAAGCTCAAATATGTTACCTGCATGTGTGTGCACACAGACACAGACAGACACACCACACAATATTTAAAGATGAGACAAGATAGAATCACAAAGGGAATAAGTGTAAATAGAAGAAAAACATGGGACACTTAAAGATATTGGAGAGAAAACTAGCAAAGGAGAGTGAAAAAGACTGACCAGTGAAAAGATAACTGGGAAAGTGTGTGCGGGAAGAAGGAGAAATCACTACAGCGGATGCTTTCGATGTGTCAGCTAGGATGAGGACTGGGGTTGGGTAGCAGCGCCGATGACATGGGTGGCCTGACTGAGCCATAAGAGGACCAATCAAAAATCGAAAAGTGGGGACCCAGATTTCAAAGTCCCTGACTTGAGTTCAGCACAGCCTTTCTCATAAGCCCTTCT